TTTCAGTATAATTTTGAGGGAAGATGTGATTTAATAAGGTTCATCAAGTTGGTACATGAAGCGGGGGGGAGCTGCATCTTCGTATAGGGCCTTATATATGTGCTGAATGGAATTTTGGGTAATTAATTTTCTAAAATTAAATTAATTACTACATATAAACAATATATATATATTTTTTAATATTTGATATAATTTTGCTGTATATTGAATTTCAGAGGGTTCCCTGTTTGGTTGAAGTATGTTCCTGGCGTTGGCGGGAGAACTGACAATTCCTCCTTCGTTTTTGAATGGTTTCCAATTCTGATTTTCCATGTTCTTTTGGCAGAATTTGTTGAGAAGTGCTTCAAGCGAGGGGTAAATATGTCCAAATAAATGCAAGTAATTGTTTAAGATGTGAAAAAGAAAAGGTCAACCCGCCACATCAGCAACAACTAACGGAATGGAAACGGAGGGGTTATTTTGTTACGTTTCGTAGTTCAGGGAGGTGTTTATTACTATTATTATTATTACTTTTATGCAAACTGTACTTTCCCCTTATTATTATTATTATTATTATTATTATTATTATTATTATTATTATTATTATTATTATTATTATTATTATTATTATTATTATTATTATTATTATTATTATTATTACTATTATTATTATTATTATTATTATTATTATTATTATTATTATTATTATTATTATTATTATTATTATTATTACTATTATTATTATTATTATAATAATAATAATAATAATTATTATTATTATTATTATTATTATTATTATTATTATTATTATTATTATTATTATAATTATTATAATTATAATTATTATTATTATAATTATTATTAGGGGAAAGTACAGTTTGCACCCCTGAACTATAGGGTTTGTCGCAAACACCCCCCTGAACTACAAAACGTAACAAAATGACCCACGACTTTAACAGTCAAACTTCAGATTTTTAACACCGTTACTAATAGTGAGTATTTACATATTAACCCTCATTATGTTATGCTGCAATCTGACGTGGCATCATCACCGTGGATAATCATTTCCCTCTCAATAGAAACCAGACCCGTCTTTTTTCTTTCTTTTTTTTCTCCTTTTATTTTTGGAGAAAACCAAATTCCTCCTTTGAAAAAACCAGCCCGTGCGCCTAAAAATTGGAATTCACGCTGCAGTGTGACCTATGACAGAAAAGCTCTTGTAATCAAAGAAAGATTCTTTTTCCTGGCTCCATTCACTATCCAAGAAGCTCACCTGATGTAAGTAAACAAAATCCCCATTTTTTTTAAATTAATTTTATTTTTATTTATTTAAATTAAAGATAATATTTTCAAGAAATGCAGATGTGGGAGGGGCTTATACAAAAGGCTAAAGATGGAGGGTTAGATGCTATTGATACTTATGTATTTTGGGACCTTCATGAACCTTCACCTGGAAATGTACCTTTTTGTTTTCATTTATTTATTTAATTTTTATTTTTTTTTCAGTATAATTTTGAGGGAAGATGTGATTTAATAAGGTTCATCAAGTTGGTACATGAAGCGGGGCTGTATCTGCATCTTCGTATTGGGCCTTATATTTGTGCTGAATGGAATTTTGGGTAATTAATTTTCTAAAATTAAATTAATTACTACATATAAACAATATATATATATTTTTTAATATTTGATATAATTTTGCTGTATATTGAATTTCAGAGGGTTCCCTGTTTGGTTGAAGTATGTTCCTGGCATTGGCTTCAGAACTGACAATTCCTCCTTCGTTTTTTAATTTTTTCCAATTCTGATTTTCCATGTTCTTTTGGCAGAATTTGTTGAGAAGTGCTTCAAGCGAGGGGTAAATATGTCCAAATAAATGCAAGTAATTGTTTAAGATGTGAAAAAGAAAAGGTCAACCCGCCACATCAGCAACAACTAACGGAATGGAAACGGAGGGGTTATTTTGTTACGTTTCGTAGTTCAGGGAGGTGTTTGCGACCAACCCCATAGTTCAGGGCTGCAAACTGTACTTTCCCCTTATTATTATTATTATAATAATAATAATAATTATTATTATTATTATTATTATTTTTATTATTATTATTATTATTATTATTATTATTATTATTATTATTATTATTATTATTATTATTATTATTATTATTATTATTATTATTATTGTTATTATTATAATGTTATTATATTATTGTTATTCTTATTATTATTACTATTATGATTATGATTATTATTACTATAGTCGTTTAAGATGCTTCATAGTCGATTAATATACCTGGTAGAGAAAAAAAAAACTAAAAATCGAAAAAAACTTATAAATAAATAATAATAAAATAAATAATAATAAAATAAATAATAATAAAATAATAAGAATTAAAATTTAAAAAAAAATTGAAAAGGACGCGGCTGACTGTTCATGGGCAGATAGTGTTGTTAGGTGGGAGGCTCAAAATTGAAAAAATGGGTGACTGAAATTAAAAGTGAGTTTTTCTCAAATAATTCAAGATAGTTTGGGTATCTTCCTTTTAAAAGAACTATTGATGAATTATACCAAAGAGTCCCTGAATTTTGTCACCAGAGATATGTATCTTGATACCCTTTATAATTATTATTAGCGGTAGTTAGGGCCTTAGGGGTGAGAGAAAAAGAAACCGAGGAACTAAGGAACCGAAGCGAAGTATACACCGCATACTCAGTTTTCAATTTTCTGTTAACCGAAAATTTTGGTTCGTATTCATTTTTTCAAGTAGTAAACCGAACCGAGGAACCAAACCAACACCAATACGACGTCGTTTCATTAAGTGTGTGTGTGTATATATATATATATATATATATATATATATATATATATATATATATATATATATATATATATATATATATATATATATATATATATATATATATATATATCGATAAAGATATATACATATATATAAAGATAGAAATGATTTTTGGGCCTGCGTTTGGGCTGGTTTTTTATTGATTTTTTATTTATTTATGAATTTTGAGATGATTTATTGACATTTTTGGGCTGATTTTCGAGCTAAAATGAACCAAAACCAGAAACGAAAACCAAACCATTATTGAAACCGGACACAGAAGTTTATGAACCGAGATGGAACTGAAACCGAATCAAAACCGATCGGAAGCGAACCACAAGAAACCGATCGGTTTGGTTTTTGGTTCTTTAGAAACCGAACACTTCGGTTCCGGTTCCGGTTCCGGTTCCGGTTTGCGGCTAAAACCAAATCGAACCGAACCAAACCAAACCATTCTCCTAGTACTAGTGTACTTCTATTAATACCACTGGTGGTGTTGTTGACAACAAGCCTGACACGTATATCATTTACTACTAATACTACTGTTGTTATTGGACTGGCGACACGTATATCATTAAAAGTGCAGTTTTCATTCAAGCAATACATTGACAAATTATAGCACGGGTTTCTCTTAATAAAGAAATGAACAAATCAGGAGATTAAATGGTGGGATGACTTCATGATACAGAAAATATCATAAGAATTAAGAATGACAACAAAATAATTAAATATTTTAAATGTTATAAAACAAAATAAATTTTACAATGGTAGCTACGAAATATGATCATTAAAATTCATTCAAATAAGATATTGTGTAATGTACGTGGATTAGATGAATGAGTAAAATTGTTTGTAAAAAAATAAAAATCTCTAAAAACATTAAGAAGAATGTCATTTGACAAAGAACAAATACTTTCTTGCTTTATGTTCAATTATTTTTTTCATACGAGGTTTATAGAGATTGTGTGTATTGAGATTGTGAAAAAATATTGGAAGGATTAATTATGATAGAAAGTTTAATTTAAAAGGTATAAATATTATTTATTTTTTAAATGGACCATAAGCATTTGTAAATAAAGATATAAATACATTAATATATATAAGAAATCAAAAAACTTACCGAGAAAAATAAGTTTAATTTGAAAGAACAAAATGTGGGGCTAGATTTGTATTTTATAAATAAAGTATCATACGATATATTACGAAAACCAGTACTGTATTTATCAAGTCCTTATCAAATTGGTCATTCTCTTATCTCTTTATTTAATTGCAAAAGACAGATCAACTAGGCAGCGATTTAATTTTGTGGGGACGAGATTAATTAAATTATTGGTTAAATAGGGTTTTCTATCATTTTATATAATGACATTGAAATAGACAATTCCATATTTAACTATTTATTGCACGACATGTACTTTTCATGTGTTGGATGTTACGCTAGGTTGTTTACGAGATTACAGTTATCAAATATTTAAATTGTCATTAAATAAAAATACAAGAGCAATAAACGAAAATTTTAAACTAACAATAACTTGCTGAAACAAACTTCCATTCACGAAACCCTTAATACATGTGAAAGCTTACAATTAATCCATGACTTACTATGCTACACGGACACGGATACGTGGACACAGCGATACGCGGATACGGACACGGTGATACGGCATTTTCAAAAAATTAGAATACGGACACACGGGGATACGCGTAAATATAAAAAAATATAGGGGTATATTTATAAATAATAAAAATATTGGGGTACATTTATAAATTGTAGAAAATATGTATAAGTCGTCATCGCATAAGAGAACCGCTCGCCCTTGATGCTCGTGTTCTTGGTTGCCGTCGCATGCTAAACTTTTGGAGTTTTGGGTGAACTCACAAAGAAAATGGAGGAAATGTGTATTAAAGAGAAAAAAAAATGCGCATTTTTTTTATTAGGTTCTCTCTTAAACCGTAAGAGAAGTTTCCTAAGTTTTTTAAAATTGTGGACACTGTCCGACACAGGTGTCCTACTTTTAGCGAAATTACGACACGGCCCGACACGGGTGTCCGAGAAGTGTCCGGGTGTCCATGTGTCGGATACGATGACTCTTCACCTTTTAAAAGTGTCCGTGCAGCATAGATGACTTACAAGGCCAAATTTAAATTTCGAACAAAAAATATCATAGGAATATAAGAGATTTTATTGTTCATGCCGTAAAGAAGATGTTATTAGACTGTTACATATTCAGTGATGTTGTGTCGCTCAACTTGGGTCCATTTAACGGGAACTTAGGCTCACTCAACTTGGGTCCATTAAACGGGAACTTAAAGGTAAATCATTGTATGCGAGTAGGTGATCTAGGTCAAAGTTCCTGCCATGTTGGGGGCCGTATTCTGCCAGCTCAAGCAGTGGCGAAGCCAGGATTTTAGCATTAGGGGGGCGAATATGTATTAAAAAATAACGTAAAAAAAATTGGATTTAATTTTTACAAAACCAAAATTGGTGAAATTTGTAGGAACTCAGGCGATACCAGTTGTCCTAAAACCAATTGGTGCGAAGTTAGGATTTTAGCATTAGGGGGGCGAATATGTATTAAAAAATAACGTAAAAAAAATTGGATTTTATTTTTACAAAACTAGAATTGGTGAAATTTGTAGGACCTCAGGCGATACCAGTTGTCCTAGTTGTCCTAATGGTGTTAGGAAAGGCGCAAACCAGGCTAACAATCTCCCCCTCAGCAATTGAGCCAGCTAGGAATTGAACCCGTTGTCCTAGTTGTCCTAATGCTGTTAGGAAAGGCGCAAACCAGGCTAACAATCTCCCCCTCAGCAATTGAGCCAGCTAGGAATTGAACCCGTGACCTTGGCTTTGATACTACTTGTATAATCTCTGGCGCTACCAGTTGTCCTAAAACCAATTGGTGTTATGAAAGGCGCAAGGACAATTGCTGCCAAACTCAGGCTAATAAAATTAGGCTAAATTATGGTGTAAATCATGAAATTGAAGTTGAATTGACTTTCAAGGATTTGGGGGTAATTTCGGTATATATAAAAGAGTTTTCCTTATTTGCAAATAAGTTTGAATGAGTTGAAATTATTTGAATGACAAAAAAATTGGATGTCCATTTTTTAATTAAGTGTCCTTGTCATGTCTTAACTATTTATTGCACGACATCTACTTTTCGTGTGTTGTCCTGCCAGCTCAAGTCAGATGTCTAGGCAAGCAGGTGAGTAAATAGAATAATTGTAGTTCTTAATGTTAGGTGCAAGGAATAACACGTATCTTGTAAAGTGAGTCAGTTGGTTTAGATGATGTTTAGCTAAACTTATTTTAAACAACTGATAAGATGTTTTAAGAGTTAATAAACTGTTAAATCTTATTTTTATGATTAAATTTTAGACTGTTTGGATAATGAACTTATTCATATTTTTACTTATTATAAGTTCTTAAATAAAAAATGTGGAGTAGAAGTTTTTTTTTTTAAATCTTATTTGTTTTTTAACACCTTATATAAAAAAAAAATAAGATTTTTTTTCTTCTAAATTACCAAACACTTTGGAAGACCATATAAGCTAACTCTAAAACATCTTATAAGTTTCTTTTAACATCTTATAAACTTAGCCAAACACCCTCTTATTTATAGTGTAATTAATAGAATCCTTATTAAAGTGAAACTCTAAGTAAGATTAATAAACTCTAATAGTAGACTTGTAAGATCTTATTAAAGGAATCGGGACGATTAGATGCCACACATACTCAATGATTTACACAGTTTTGATATATGACTACTGAATTTTTTTTAGTCCACAAATTATTCGTGGCAAGTTTTCCTTTTTCACCCATCATTTTTCTTTTAATTAAATTACTCTTAATTTTCTTTTTCTTGCCACTATATTTAAGGGCAGCTAAAACTAATATCTATTTTTTCTCATTTCAATACCTTAAACTTCAATATTCAATATTATATTTTGTAGAAGTTTCTCAATTTGTTTCTTAGATTAATACCATAAATAATTTTTTTCATATACAAAGTACTAAAATACCCGTCATAAAACAATATACAATTTATACAAACAATTTTTTTCGCATTTCAATACCAAAGAAAAAAAAAACCCGTAGAACCCTCACTTCTTCTTCATTTTCTTACAAACCATCCAAAAATTTCGAAATTCAAAAAAACAAATAAATAAAAAAAACCTCACAAAACTTATAAAATGGAGTCCCAAAACAAAATGGTAGTTTACATGGAAGAATAACCCATTAAAGGGATTTGTCGACCCTACACCCGGTGATAAACACTGGGTGGGTCTTTTGCTGCCACGTGTCTCTTTTTTGCTGCCACGCGCCTCTTTTAAAACCCCGTCTACAGTTTTCGACACATAGATGTAGATTATTTATCAGTCGATTTTTTCTGAAAGATGAATTTTGGCACATACATGTTGAAATTTCAACATGTATGTGTCGAAATTCACCTTTTAACAATAGTGGTTTTTTGACACATGTATACATCGAAATTCGTTTTTTTAAATATATTTTTCAACAAGTTGGTGTCAAAAATTGACAAAAAAATCGACTCGTGTGTGTCAAAAACTGTCGACGGGTTTCAAAAATTAAAAAACTTCACAATCGACTTCGATGCTCAAAAAAGACATGTTAGCATACTTTAATGGGTTCTCCTAGATCGTAAACTACCATTTTATTGTCTTTTGTGTGAGGCTTTGATTTCTTCAATTTTAAGATTTTTTAGGAGAGTTTGTCGTGGGATGGAGAAGGAGAAGGTTCAGAGGTTTGTGAAGAAGGAGATGAGTTTGAGGGTTTTGTGTGTTTGAATTGGTATTGAATAAAGAAAAATGAAATTTTTAATATTTTTGTGGTAATTTTTATTAAGAGCATGCATGTCATTACCTATTTATTTTCAAATTTTTAGTTTGGTGGTATGAAGTGAGAAAAAATTGGTACTAGTTTTAGCTGCCCCTCATTTAAATAGAGATATTGACAAAGGCAAAGAATCAAAATTAATCATCAAATACTAATTTGATGTTAGTTTTATTATTTTGATACTCATCTACACCAACCACAAGTATTAAATTGATTATCAAATTTTAAATATAAGTACAAATGTGTTTAAAATTGACACGTGCGAATTCATGACATGTTATTTAGGTATTTAATTTTTAATACCTATTTTTAGAAGATGCATTTTTACATCTCCGAAAGATAAATATAAAAATAAGGGGCAATTTGCTATAGGTCCTCCTATAAGAGATTATATGTGTTAAAATCCATCTAATAAACTCTAATTTCCAGCAAATTTTTGTATTTATAATTTGTCAAAAGTACCCCTATCAATATCCCTATTAATATACGGTAAAATATATCTTCAAAATCAAATCCCCTATTTTTCTCCCTATTATACTGCAAATCCGAAAATTATAATTGCAAAAATATGGAAATCGATTTCTTCCCTGTTTCTTCATAGCGAAAATCTCACCACGAATTTTGAATCCTTACATAGGTTTTGGGTGTTTGGTCGTTTGCAGTTTTACCAGGTCGTTTGCATTTTGTCTTCGTTCGATTTGCTGTTCACTATTTGCATTTGTTTCGTTTGCTGTTTACAGGGTTTGTTGTTCCGAAAATTACAATTGCAAAAATATGGAAATCGATTTCTTCCATGTTTCTTCAAAGCGAAAATCTCACCACGAATTTTGAATCCTTCCATAAGTTTTGGGTGTTTGATTGTTTGCAGTTTTACCAGGTCGTTTGCATTTTGTCTTCGTTCGATTTGCTGTTCAATCTTTGCATTTGTTTTCTTTTGTTGTTTACAAATTTTCTGTTCATTATTTGCATTTGTTTCGTTTGTTGTTTACAAATTACCAGGTCTGAGCATTTTGCCTTTATTCCGTTTGCCTTCGTTCGATTTGTTGTTGCCCAATTTGACTTCGTTCTGTTTGCAGTTTACAAATTGTTTGTTGCTCGGGATCAACGGCTGGTATTTAGGGTTTGTTGTTTGGAGTTCATACGATGGCCAAAACACGATTAAGTCTTGGTAATCAATGATCATTTGTGTAAAATTTTATTTGCATGTTGGGTTTTCGATTTTGATTTTTTTTCTTTCATCTCAAATTTTGTATTTTGTTCCTTTTTTGCTTTTGTATTTTGTTTGTTTGCTATTTATTTCAAATATTTCAATAATAATTTGAGAACTCGTTTTTTTCCCCCCCTTAACAGCAAAGGAGGATGATGATTTCCAATCCCCGAAATCAGGTAAATTGAGGGGTTTGTTTATGTTACGACTTTGGTTATGTTTATTCTAAAACAATACATTTGAAGAACCTAATTATGTGTTTTGTCTTTGCTATTTGCATTTCTCTGTTATGAGTTTGCAAGTTGAATTTCAATATGTTCGTTTTGGATTTCTACATTTTACCGGTTTTGTTCAAATAATAAATTATTTGATTGTATATTTTTTGGTACAAATTATATTAGTTTGGAAAAATTACAATCGCCCCTATGACCCGTCAAAATGCAAACAACAAACTGAAAATATAATTTGCATTATATAATTGCAAACAACAAATTACATGTAGGATATGCATTATGCATCGTCTATATTTAATTATAAACAACAAACTACATATATTTTATTACAAACAACAAACTGAACAATATGATATGCATAATCTATATGCAAACAATAACAATAAAAAAATATAATATTACAAATTGCAGTTTGCAGTTTTCTATTCATGTTGCTAATTTATTTTGCAATTCAATTTCTTTTTGGTATTTATCGAATGAAAATCAATTAGAAAATACAAACAAAAAATAAAAGTTCACTTAAAAAAAGTAAAATTGAAAGAGATACAAGAGAGGAGAGGGAGAGAGAAAGATGGGGCGTGTATTTGGGGAGGGAGATAGAGAGAGAGAATGAGTAGGAGAGAGAGAGAGGGGGGGCACGTGAGAGTGATTGAGAGAATAAGAGTAATAAGTGGGATTTGTTAACTACTTTCATATAAAATTAATTGTTAATTAAGGAGGGGTTTTTTGTCTATACACAAATAATTTAATTTAATTTATATTAATTTTATTGGGTAAAGAACTTTATACCTATATTAATTATCGAGAGTGATTCTCTGATTGTAGTCAATGCTATACAGGGGAGATCGTCAATTAGTTGGGACCTTACATATATGCTTTGCCAATGTAGTGAAATGCTTCCGTCGGGTTACTCAATTACTCATATTGTTCGGCAAAAGAATGTTTGGCGGATCGGCTAGCGGCTTGGGCATACAATCACATGGGTTATCAAGATTTTTTTCAAACTAGGGATCTTCCAAGCTCTGTTTGGGGTATGTTTCGTTGCAACCAGTTGGGTTTATGGGAGTTACGATAATGAAGATGGCGTGGTGGGCTGACTTTTTGATATTGCATAGCTGCCCCAATATGAAGTCTGATGTTCAAATTCACAATCAGCTGCATAAAGTTACGTGGAGAGTTTTTTCTAGTTGGCGGAATTGCATATTAATCCCTGCCCGGGGTCCTTTTACAAATATCGAGACTGCTATAGGAATAGAAGTTTTAGTTTTTTTCAGTTTTACCCCATTTTGGGGTTTCATTGTAATAGACTCTATAGGGTCGTTTATGATTTTTTATTGCCATTGTAGGGGTACTCTTTTTCCCTGTGATAGGCCCACAGGGTTTTAACGAGGCCCTAAACGTTTTATCATAATGGAATAATAAAATCTTTTTTGGCCAAAAAAAAAAGAAAAAAAAAAAAAAAAAAAAAAAATCTAATAGAATGGACCTCCACCTATATAAGTCCATAATTAGGGGTGTCTAGCCAATTTCCCCTAAAAATAATTACCAATCTGATTCCTTTAATGGAAGATGAAAATTTGAGTTTTGGAGCATCAAAATAAAAGTATTAATTTATTTCTAATTTGATTTCTCCATTGGAGTTGTTAAGTCTGCCCAAAAGATTTAAAAAAAGAAAAAGAAAAATTATATCGGTGAAAGAATGATAGAAGTATAACAAGGACCTTTTACAACTGTCACGAAATTTTCTAATAGTTTAGGGCTTTTACAATTAATTTAAAAAACTCGAAGAGGTTATATTTAATTAATTTACTATGAATGTAAGGACTGTTCTATAAATAATTAATGGCTTACAATTATGTGACTGTCACTTTAATTTCTATATATGAACCGCCAGCCCTCTGTGCTTGATCAAACTCAGATTATATATACATAGTTTCTTCTCATTATTGTTACAAACATCTTTGCCATTAATCTGCAGCCTGCAGGTACATATCTTAACATTTTACAATAACATATATGTATAAGATATGTGTGTGTGTATATATATATTCAAAATAAATACACTTTTATGCAATAATCAAATCTCAATCATATTCATATTTGGTCTTAAAAAGTACTTGAGCTAAATCTTATAAAGAGCTCCATACAAAAGAAAATTGATTTTCTTTTTCCTTCTACTTATATACTGATGCAGGAAATAAAATGTGGAGGTTGAAGATTGCAGAAGGTGGCGACGGCTCCGGCGGCGGAGGATGGCTGACGACCACGAACAATCATGTAGGGAGGCAACATTGGGAATTTGACCGGGAGGCTGGTACGGCGGAGGAACGAGCCCAAGTCGAAAGAATTCGGCGGGATTTCAAGAAAAAACGGTTCCGGTTCAAACAAAGTGCTGACCTATTGATGCGCATGCAGGTACTCGGATATTATCTCTCCTTTATAATATGATTTTGTTGATTTATATGCCTATTGAAATCTACTCGTTCCATTGAGACAGGTTATTGTTAAGACATATTATTGTTGAGATAGATCACTATTAAAATATTAACGAGGTTGAAACAATATTTTGTGTGTTGTAATAAAATCTAACTTATAAAACAGAATAAAAGACACACGATATTAAAGTGATTAAAATACAAATGTACCTTATATCCACGATGATATGCAACCAAAATTCACTAATTCAAATTTAAGTGTACAATAATTCAACTTCACAAAAATATTAAAGACTCCCTTTTTATGTTATAAGCCGTTCTTGCACACTATTTCAAACTTATTGATCATTACAGCAGTTCCTCCATCCGCACTATTGGATTCCCTACAATGTTGAACTCCCTTAAAACGGATTTCTCCCAAGATCTTTTAAGCACTTTTTCTCAAAACGTCGATCTTTTTTGTGGTTTGGTAAAAGAAACAGGTACTGTTGCAATAGGCAACGTGTAGTCAGAAACTGCTCCGACAGACTACCTTTACAAAGCCTTTATGACGAGACACGTTTTTCTATTTTAAAGCTCTAAAAAACTCATTTGGGGTTGATGGGTTTTATATATGCACGGAATTCACCACCCAAAACCTAGCTTGAGCCCTAAGAAATCAATCATTGAGAAATAAAATCCTTTATGAACTCTACAACTTACAGTACATATGAAAGAACATTTACAATATATTTCCTAATCTAATACAAATATAAGGAAATATATAAAGTTCTACTTAAATAAATCCCTATAAATTCGGACTATATATAATTTCTTAACAAAAAGATGTAATAAATCGATGCCAATATTTATCAAAAATCCACAAATTTCTTCAAATCCCTTTAGTTGAAATCTCGTGCCAGCAATCCCCCTCTTTGGCAATATTAATTGGTCAGAATTTCATGTTGTCAAAAGCCACTGCAAAAGAGGTATACCCCCTGCAGCACAGACTGTTAGGACAATAAATGTTTCAGCACAAAGAAGTTGGAACCAACTCAATTTTCGTGCATCATAAAGTTATCAATATGCATCATATGAGAATAAAATTCAAAGCATGGCATAGCAGATAACCAAAATATTCAAAACACATGAAATCATTTATGATCCGCTTGTTCCCACAATGAAAGTTGTTATGGCAGAGGTTGTTACTAATCTCCCTTTTTGATCAGTCTGTGCCAAAGACTTCCTCAATACACATCAGCAAACTAAGAATGCGAGAGATAAAAATTCAAAATAAACCAGAAGAAAGACTTCAAAAATAGGGGTTATGTTACAACATCCCGAGATTCTTCCTCCCGTTTCAACAGAGTTTTAGTTAGAACAAAGATCTGTTAAGACACATAGTCAACAAATAAGGTAAGCCTCAGAAAAATAAAAAATAATATCTAGATGAAAGATGGTTACACTATTATTTCGTTGTTCATTAATGAACACAACAAGTTCCAAGCAATTTACGCAAGGAATCAAATCGAAAGGAATGTAATGGTTTTATAAAAGAACCAGCAACTAATTATTGTTGATATACAATTTATTGACACAACCTTTAGTTCCACTAGTTCTCCACCAACATTAAATGTCTTTTTTACCTCTTATTTGTGTCTTAGTTTCATCACCAAGAGTTGCATGTCACTTGCACATAGTTCTTCAAGTGCTTCGAATTACGTGTCATATATTTAAAAGCAACAAATATCACAGTACCACGAGTTACTAGGACAACCACTAAGAGGTGTTACGACAAAAAAAAAACAATTAATGTCATTTTTTTCTACCCATTTTTGTTTAATATCAGAGTGTTCCATTTTAGGAGCCTGTTGCAATACAGCGAATTGCGTTAATGTTTTGACAAACTCTTGTTTATCAACTTCTATTTTAAACAAATATTTTGGTATGATGTGACCCAATTTATGGCAGAAATGACGCGTTGGAACAAACTTTTTTCCATTAAATTTACGAGAACACTTTTGGTTTGTTAAGACACCTGAGTTGCTAGGACAATCAATTTTCGCAAAAGTGACACATGATTGTTCTTACTAGTAGAAGGTTGAGATTTTTGAAAATGTAACTGATCTTTTAGTTTCTCAACATCTTTTGTAGCAATATCCAATTTAAACACATACCTCTTTTTCTTTCTCGAGTTCAACAACTTGTGTTTTCAAGACCTTACTGATTTCATCTACGAAAAGACATGTTATGTTTTGAGAAATTCTTATTGTTGCATAATCATTTATGCAATAATTTTCTCTTCAGCATCTGAACTGGTTTCACCTATGTTTTGGGGTGAAAATCGGACGGAATTAGGCCTTTCGAAATATTTCCATTTTTCTTCGGAAGTTAATATTGCCATTCAATTCCGATTCCGATTGATTCTGAAATATCAGAAATTTCGAAATTAATGCAAATCTTGTACATTTTGGCGAATCCAGATTTATTTTGGAAAAGTTTCTAAAATTTCAGATATAAATCTTTTTGCAAGACAACTTAGTAGCCCAAATCCCACAAAGAATCAAATAACGTGTGGAAAATGTTCTTAAAATTTCTTCATAATCAAAAGTTCTCATGCATGAAGGAATTAAAAGTTCCAAACTGAACTTGCAACAGAACAAAATGTAGAAAACCCAGAAACGAAGTGTTGCCATATGAAACTTAAAATTTTTCCACCGTCTTCCCTTTTATTGGTGAGAAAAATAAAAAGATATTACAACTCGTGGGTGTGGGCTTTCCAAATAGAAACAAACAAATATTCTAGTTTGGGCCTTAGTTTAATGGGTTATTAACTGAAAATCCATAACACATACTACATATATATTATAATAAATATATAGGCGGCCGATATATGCAAGCCCATTTTTTTATTAGTTCAAGACCTCCAACATAAAAATACTAATTTACCCTTAATGAAATTCAAAACCAAATAAAAAACAAAAATCATAAATAAAAAAATCGGCGTTACAACGCCGATTTTGACTTGTGAAGTCGGCGTTGTGTCGCCGATTTTGTTAACAAAAATCGGTATTGTGACGCCGATTTTCGTGTACAAAATCGGTCTGGATAAACCGATTTGGGAAAACAACGAAAACACACAAAAAAATCAATTTCAATCTCAATTTTTTTTTTCCAAAATCGGCTAACGCATTGCAACCCAACAAGAAGTAAGCATAGATTAATGTTCATCCACGCATATTTATCAAGAATCGATGCTCGATTAATATTTTTGGATTGACAAACAAAAGTTTAGTAAAAAGGACTTGTTGGTGGTAGGGGTGTGAACGAGCCGAGCTCGAGCCGAGCTCGCCTCTTTTGGCTGGCTCGAGCTCGAGCTCGAGTCTATTTTGTCGAGCTCGAGCTCGAGCTCGAGCTCGTCGAGTTCTTCTTTTTCTGGCTCGAGCTCGAGCTCGTGTTAATTATGTCGAGCTCGAGCCCAATCTCTTTTTTTTTTTTTTTTTTTTTAAATATTTTTTAATTATTATTTTATTATTAAAATTTATTTTTAAAAAATACAAAATAAAAACTAAATTATGATTATATATTTTTTTTAATATTTGTATTTATTTGTATAATATTTTATATTATTATACATTATTTAAATAAAAATAACATATAAAAATAAAAAAAATAAAAAAAAATAATAAATCCGGGCTCGCGAGCCGGCTCGCGAGCTGATGAACAACTAAATTCCGGCTCGAGCTCGGCTCGTCAGAAAGCTCGAGCTCGAAAATCTCGAGTCCGAGTTCGAGCTTTTTACGAGCCGGCTCGTCGAGCTCACGAGTCGGCTCGGCTCGTTTACCACCCCTAGTTGGTGGTGGTGGGGTGATGGTGATGGTGCGGTGGAGATGGTTTGGTGGTGGTGGTGCGGTGGTGGTGGCTTGCTGATCGTCGTCGGCGGTCTAGTGGTGGTCGTGCGGCAGTCTTGTGGGGTGGTCGTGCGGCGGTCTTTTGCGGTGGTCTTGCGGCTGCCGTATTCTTTTTTCGTATTCTTTTGTTATTTCTTTTGAGTTTTTTTCATATTTTGGTCTTGTACAAATAAAAAATAGGGTTTATTTGTATTTAGGTAATATTTGTGGATAAGGGTATATTCGTCCTCTTTGGTCTTGATGTAATACAAATAAATTAGTTTAGGGGTTTGAACTAATAAATCTTTTTATGTCGGTTTGAACTAATAAAAAAATGGGCTTGCATATAACGGCCGCCAAATATATAATTACTGTACATATATATTTCGGAAAAAAATTCAGAATTTTGGGAAATAAATTGGATCAAAACTTGGAATTTCCGAACTTTTAAATCTAAAAAGCCCAAAATACAAAACCATATTAGCGTATAGATGAACAATAAAGATATATCCAGTGTAGACTTAAAAAAATTAGCATAAAATAGATCCATGATCAGTTTCGTTAAAAGATAAGCATTATTGTACAATTCAAGATTGCGCCATAAATGACCGACAATAAATGACTTAATTAGTGGAATAAGAAATTATAGTTGTTCCATTTAATTCCAATTGAAGTTGCTCTAAAAATGAGGAACCAAAATAAAAACAAAATCGAATGTTTATTAGTATGGACTGGTAATTTGATTTTTTTTTTTGGAAAGACCATGGTGTTGATTTGATGAAAAAATATTGCAGCTAAGAAAAGAGAATCCATGCGGTCCAATTCCAGCAGCAATAAAAGTGAAAGAAACAGAGGAAATAACAGAGGAAGCAACCACAACTACACTTCGACGGGCAATTAGTTACTACTCAACAATTCAAGCCCACGATGGACACTGGCCTGCTGAATCTGCCGGCGCTTTGTTCTTTCTCCCTCCCTTGGTATGTCTCATTTCAATATTTTTTATTGGCTAAATTACACCTACACCCCTAAGGTATGCTAAAATAATTTTAAGATCCATGTGGTATGGGTAATTGCATTGACCCTCCTGAAACGTTGTTAGAAACCTCAACGGAATAATGTAATGAATAAATTATTTCGTTAGGGTTCTAACAAACTATTAGTTTCAGGAACTGATGGAGACAATATAGAGTCGGGCGATGACATGCCTATCCTTATTATTTTAGATAAATTTATAATTTTTTGTCTATGGTAGCACTAACGGCCCCACAGAAAACAAATATAGTGCATATCGGTCACCAGCACCTGAAATCTTGGCTCCGACAATTGCTTCAGGGGTGTGGCTGTAATTACCAATACCATATGGACCTTAAAATTATTTTAACATACCACAGGGGTGCAAGTGTAATTTACCCTAATTTTTTTACTTTGTTCCAATTTCAAGTTTCCTGGAAAAAAAATTAGTCGAGATCGGAATTATATATAGGGGTGACTAAAACTAATACTAATTTTTTTTCACTTCAGTACAAAAAAATAAAAATTGGGTAATAAATAGGTAATGACATAAATACCCTTAATGAAAATAAATACCATACAAACATTAAAAATCTCATTTTTCTTTCTTCAATACCACCAAACACACAAAACCCCTCAAACTCATCTTCTTCTTCACAAATCCCTCAACTTCTTCCTTCTTCTTGCTCACAACAAACTTTTCTAAAAATTCTCAAAACTAAAGAAATTAAAACCTCACACAACTTGCAAAATGGAGGCAAATGACAACAAAATGATAGTTCATGACCAAGTAGAACACATTAAAGTAAGCATCGATGTCTTTTTTCAGCTTCGAAGTTGATTTTGAAGTGTTTTTTGTTTTAACCCGCCGGCAATTTTCGACACATACATATCGATTTTTTAGTCAATTTTCGACACCACCGTGTCGAAAAATATTTAAAAAAAACAAAAAGAAAAAAACAAATTTCGACACATACCTGTCGAATGTTCTCCAAATTTTGACAGGTATGTGTCGAAAAAACACTGTTGGTAATAAAATAAAATAAAATATTTGCAGTGGTTTTTCGACACATACATGTCGAAATGTCTCAAAATTTTGACATGTATGTGTCGATGTGGAGAAATTTCGACATGTATGTTTCGAAAATTGTCGTCGGGTTTCAAAAACAAAAACTTCAAAATCGGCTTTGAAGCTAAAAAAAGATATGGATACATACCTTAATGGGTTCTCCTTCCATATGTACTACCATATTATTGTCTTGTGACTCCATTTTATAAGTTTTGTAAGGTTTTGATTTTTTTCAATTTGAAGATTTTTTGGAGGATTTAAGAAGATGAAGAAGAAGAAGATAGGGTTTTAAGGGATTTGGGTTTTGGGGAGAAGAAGAGAAGATTTGTTTTTTGTTTTCTTGGTATTGAAATGAGGAATATAAAATTTGTTTGTATAAATTGTATTTTGTTCGATGAAGAGTATTTTAGTACTTTGCTAATTTTTTTATTTACAGTATTAAACTAAGAAAAAATTCTAAAAACTTCTATAAAAAATGGTTTTAAACTTACTGGTAGTGAAGTGAGAAAAAAATGGTATTTGTTTTAGTCGACCGTTTATATATAAACATCCTATATTCTCAACAATTTCAAGTTCTAGTACTGCAAAAAGAAAACAAAAACACAAACCAAAATAAAAAACAAACAAATTCAAGTTGTAGAAAATGGTGAACACCAAAAACTGACGCAAAATTGCAGGTGCTGGCATTGTATATCACCGGAGCAATAAATGCTGTTCTATCACCACTAAAACGGAGCATCCAACTTGTTTGTCTTTCTAAATAATTTCAGTTCATTCAAACTTATTTGCAGATAAGGAAAACCCTTTTATATATGCTAAAATTACCCCAAATTCTTTGAATTCAATTCACCTCCAATTTCATGATTTACACCTCAATTTAGCCCAATTTCACCAATTAACCAATTTTGACCTGCCACCGCCGGTGACCGCTGGTCAGCCGCCGTTTACTTTTTTTTTTGAAAACTTTTTTTTTTTTCTGAATTTTTTTTCCGGCAGGTCAACCGTCGTTGACCGCCGGTCTTTGGCTATTAGAAAACTGTCCCCAACAGTAATTTAACTATCGGAGATAGTAATCTAACTGTTTGAGAGAAGTAATATTACTGTCTCCGGCGTTGACTTCTTTTCTTTTTTTTTTTTTTTTTGAAATTTTGTGTTTTCTAAAAAACATTATTTAATTAATATTACTCTTTTTGCTGCTAAATTACTGTCTCTAACAGTAATTTAACTCCAATAATTTAACTGTTTGAACAATATTATTACTGTATTAATTAATTTTATCGTCTTGACCTGCAATTTTGTTGTCTTCGACCATAATATTACTGTATGCGACCGTAATATTACTGTCTCATGCAATAATATTACTGTTGAGACAGTAATATTAGTAATATTACTGTTCGGGAATATTAGTAATATTACTGTTTGGGACAGTAATGTTAGTAATATTACTGTTCGGAAAAGTAATATTAATAATATTACTGTCCCAAACAGTAATTTTACTGTTTGGGATAGTAATATTCGTAATATTACTCTTTTGGTATTCAATATTACTATTTTAGACAATAATTTTGTTGTTAACACAGTAATTTAGAGAGGCAAAAAAAAAAAAAAAAGTCAATGCCGAAGACCGGCAGTTGACCGGACGGAAAAAAATTTCAGAAAAAATTTCAGAAAAAAAGGTCAACGCCAGAATCTGGCCGGAAATTAAATTCAGAAAAAAAAATATTTTTTCAAAAAAATATTAAAATGGGGGTTAATGTGATATATTTGTTTAAATTCGGGGTCAATATATAATATTGAAGAAGTTAGAGTATAATGGATGAAATGGATAAAAAATATATTATGGATGGTATTTTAGACAAAAAAATATGGGAATGAGTTTATTTGGTAAACAGTTGTTTGTCTGGATCAATGTGCATTTAACTCCTTTGTCATGTCCCTCTTTGTCATTTGCCAAAATTTAGACATCGAAATAATTTTTTGATAAATTACATCTACACCGTTGAAGTATGCTAAAATAACTTTAAAGTCCCTGTAGTATCGGTAATTACAATCACCCCTTGAAACATCTTTAGAAACCCTAACGGAATAATGCATTGGAAAAGTTATACCGTTAGGGTTCTACGAGGCTATTAGTTTCGGGCAATGGTGGAGACAACATAGAGTTAGAGGGCGACGTGGTTACACCAACATTTCTTAAATCCTTATTATTTTATATAAGATTTATAAATTTTCGTCTATAGTAGCATTACCGACCTCGCGGATAACAAATATTAGTGCATATTGGTCCCGAAGACATTAAAAAGATATTTTAGGGTGTGGCTGTAATTACCAATATCAGAAGAACCTTAAAATTATTTTATAATATCGAGGGGTGTAGGTGTAATTTACCCTAAGTTTTTTTACGTTCCAATTTCCAGTTTCCTGGGAAAAAAAATAAAAAATTAATCGCGATCGGAATTATATATAAACATCCGATATTTTCAACAATTTCAAGTTATAGTACTGCAAAAAGAAAACAAGAAAATGGTGAACACCAAAAACTGACGCAAAATTGCAGGTGCTGGCATTGTATATCACCGGAGCAATAAATGCTGTTCTATCACCAGAACATCAGAAGGAGATCATAAGATACATATACAATCACCAGGTTTATAAACGGTGTTTGGTTATCTGCTTTTACTTAATTCAGAAATTAGGGTTTGTTATGAATTTCCATTCTCGATTTTTGTGGGACAGAATGAAGATGGAGGTTGGGGAATGCATATTGAAGGCCACAGCACAATTTTTGGTTCTGTTCTCAGTTATATTACACTGAGGTTATTGGGGGAAGGCCTCGAAGATGGCGATGACGTGGCAGTTGCCGGAGGCCGAAAATGGATACTCGATCATGGTGGTGCCGTTGGCATACCGTCATGGGGGAAATTTTGGCTCACGGTACCATAATACTTTTTTATATTTCTTTAAGGATGTTGGAGAAAATGCAAATCCCACTTTGCATTCTTGAAATATACTATTTTGGCACTTTACACCATCAAAACAAATTAACAGCACTTTACACCCTCGAAACACAATGAATCATGCATAATGCACCCCAAATGAATTTTTAAGCTAATGAAGGTAATTTAATATTTTAATGGTATTTTTTTAGGACGACAACTGTCAACTGTCAAATCTTTTTTTTTTTTTTTTAGTTCATCAATTACTTTGAAATTATAAAGTGCAAGAAAAAAAATGCATCTCATCAACATATCTGAAAAAAATATATTTTCTATCACAAACAAAATATTTTACGGAAAAAATCATTCAACTATTTCGTTATCAAATTATCTGAAAATCATATTTATTCAAATATTTTTACCTAATATTTCCACCAGTTGCAATAAAAGATCCATCAATCGAATAATTTAGTGATAAAATTTTATTTTATTTTGTAAGAAAATATAATTGTTTTTAATAATTCGGTGTGACTTTTAGTTTTTCGCACTTTGTGCGCTCGAAATTAGGTTGGGGGTTGAAGAAAATAACAATTTAATTTGTCATTTTGCATTCCGGAAAAAAAAAACCAATAAAAAATGAAATTACCTTTATTATTCAATTCATGGTGCATTGTGAATTAAGCCGATATTATATGAAGTGTTTTGTTTTTAAATATCTGGTGTCTGAAGGTGTTGGGAGTTTACGAATGGGATGGCTGCAATCCTATTCCCCCGGAGTTTTGGCTGCTCCCGAACTTCTCCCCAATTCATCCAGGTTTTCTATGACCTTCAAGGAAAAAAGAAAACAATGTAGTTTCAACATTTAACTTTAAGACTTATATTTTCTTACATATCTGTGTGTAGGTAAAATGATGTGCTATGCTCGTTTGGTATATATGCCAATGTCGTATTTGTATGGGAAGAGGTTCGTTGGACCTATCACAGGATTGATCCAGTCCTTAAGACGGGAGATTTATACCGAGCCCTATCACGATATAAATTGGAACAGAGCAAGAAACACATGCGCAAAGGTTGGATGCACTTTGGTTATATTTTAGACTTACATCTCATTTTTACAAACTTTTTGAGAAATTTACACCGGAGTATTTACTTATGTTTACTATCAGGAAGACCTTTATTATCCTCATCCTTTCATGCAAGATATGTTGTGGGGATTCCTTCATAATTTCGCTGAGCCGATCCTAAAAAGATGGCCGTTTTCTAAATTAAGGGGAAAGGCTTTAGGAATTGCCATCGAACACGTTCATTATGAGGACATGAATAGCAGATACCTATGCATTGGATGTACGGAGAAGGTAATACACGATCACTGTAATGTTATACATTAATAGGGTAAATTACAACCACACACTGAGGTATGGTCAAATTACGAAAAAATTCCTCATGTTTGGATAATTACAACTACCCTTCAACTATGAATCTTCTTACACGTCCACCCTTATGGTGTCAAATTCAACATAATCTTCTAGATTTCATGGACTGTTTTCTATTTTGTAATCGTTTTATACAAAAATACAGTTTATGATGCACCACAATCTGATATATACAAGCCAAAAACACATCTTATGATCATCTTGCTTCAAAATGTACATGGAGCTCGAATGGGATATAACGGGTACAAAATTTAGAATATTCCATATAATCTAGAAGATTCCACTAAATTTGACACTGCAAGGGTGGACGTGTAAGAAGATTTATAGTTGATGGGTGGTTGTAAATACCCAAACAGGAGGGGTTTTTTCGTACCATACCTCAAGAGGTGGTAGCAATTTACCCAAATTAATATGTTAGAAAAAGTTTTAAAGCTGTCATATGTTTCTTAGGTTTTGTGTCTACTTGCTTGTTGGGTTGACGATCCTAATTCCGAAGCTTACAAACGCCATCTTGCTCGTATACCGGATTACTTTTGGGTAGCTGAAGATGGCATGAAAATGCAGGTATAATTTTGTTTATTTCCCTCCCCCCTTCATTTTCTACATTAATCAAACTATATTGGATATTGCATGATTAAGTATGTTATTTTTATATTTTGAATAGACTTTCGGTTCTCAAACGTGGGATGCTGCTTTTGCCGTTCAAGCAATTTTATCAGCGAATATTTCCGAAGACTACGGGCCGACCTTGAAGAAAGCACACAGCTTTGTAAAAGCCTCACAGGTTCAATTTTTTCTCTCGCAACATTTACGAGAACAAAAAAAAAAAAAATCATTATTGTTATTACCCTTTGCAAGTAGCCTAATACTTTAATTTTACCTTAATTAAGGTTCGCGAAAACCCACCTGGAGATTATCGTAAAATGTACCGCCACACATCTAAAGGTGCTTGGACATTTTCAACGCGAGATCATGGTTGGCAAGTCTCTGACTGTACATCTGAAGGAATGAAAGTAAGTTAAGTTACTACACGAATTTTCCATTTATGCAATAAAAAGAAAATATAGTAAAATTCGATTTGAGATACGATTTTTTTACAGGCTGCACTTCTACTGTCGCAAATGCCACAAGAACTCGTTGGAGATAAAATCGAAACAGAGCGCTTATATGATGCTGTAAATGTCGTCTTGTCCCTACAGGTAGGGAATATGTATTTTGAGTGAAATGTGATATTGTTCTCATTTAATTAGACAATAATATGTTTGAAGGGTAAATTACAACCACCCCTCAGGTACGGTCAATTTACGAAAAAACTCCTTTTGTTTGGATAATTACATCTACCCCTCAACTATTTTTTTCCTTACACCTACACCCTTATGGAGCCAAATTCAACATAATCATCTAGATTTCATGGAATGTGCTCTAGTTTGTATTCCGGTTTGTGTAAAAATACAGTTTCTGATGCACCACAATTTGATATATACAAGCCAAAAAACACATCTTATGATCATATTGCTTCAAAATGTGGAATTCGAATTGGATAAAACGGGTACAAAAGTGATAATATTCCATATAATCTCGAAGATTCCACTAAATTTGAAACCGCAAGGGTGGACGTGTAAGAAGATTTATAGTTGAGGGGTAGTCGTAATTACCCAAACAAGAGAGGGTTTTTCGTAATTTGACCATACCTCAGGGGGTGCTTGTAATTTACCCTATGTTTGAATAACTAATGCATGTAATAACTTTTCTGAAACATTTGGCACAGAGTGACGGCGGTGGATTTCCTGCATGGGAGCCCAAACGAGCATATCGTTGGTTAGAGGTAAATTAAATGATGATTGCTCAGACTTCGACACCTGATTGATGTTTAGCATTTCGCAAAAAAAACCCGTCGAAAAATTCATGATTCTAATTATGTTTTTTTTTCAGAAGTTGAACCCTACGGAACTCTTCGAAGATACCCTCATTGAGCGAGAGTATGTCCATAGTTTTCAAAGTTCATCATATGTTACTATCCACACTTTCGATTCATTTTTTTGGTAACTAATCGTTTTAATACCTTTTTTTCGTACTCAATGTTTAAACTAGCTATGTGGAATGCACTTCATCGGCAATCCAAGGCCTACAACTTTTCAAGAAGTTGCATCCAGGGCATCGACAAAAAGAAATAGAAACCTGCATTGCAAGGGCAAAACAGTACATAGAGAACACTCAAGAATCTGATGGTTCTTGGTACATACAATGTTCAAAAATAATTTCATGATTAATCTTAATTTTACGTTACTATATATCGGAGAAATGTGACAATATTTGTACTTGATACTGTGTGTATATATAGGTCTGGTTCTTGGGGTATATGTTATACGTACGGAACATGGTTTGCAGTGGAGGGCTTAGTAGCATGTGGCGTAAATTACCGTAGTTCTCCCTCGTTGCAAAAAGCTTGTAAGTTTTTGTTGTCAAAACAATTGCATGATGGTGGATGGGGTGAGAGTTATCTTTCGAGCTCCAACAAGGTTAGTACCAATTAATCATCTTGCAATCTAAAAGTTTTGGCTTAATCCCACTTTTTTGCACCCTTCGAAAAATAATAATAGCACTTTGCACCCTCAAAATACAATAAATCATTCACAATGCACCCTGAATTAAAGCAATTTCATTTTTCATTAGTGTTTTTTTTTCCGGGGTGCAAAATAAAAAAATAAATTGTTAGTTTCTTGAACATCCAACCTAATTTCGAGCGGACAAAGTGCGAAAAAAAAATATTACATCGGATTATTTAAAAAAACTACATTTTCTGACAAAAAAAAAGCACTTTATCACTAAATTATTCGATTGATGGATCTTTTATTGTAATTGATTGAAAATATTAGGTAAAAACATTTGGAAGAAAATATGATTTTCAGATAACTTGATAACGAAATAGCTGAATGATTTTTTTTCGTAAAATATTTTATTTTCATTAAAAAAATATAGTTTTTAAATATGTTGATGAAACATATTTTTATTTTTCACTTAATCGTGAATAAAAAAAATATTTGACATTTGACATCCTAAAAACATATCACTGAAAATATTTAATTACATTGTTTAGCTTTAAAAATTCATTTGGGGGTGCATTATGCATGATTTATTGTGTTTCTAAGGTGTAAAGTGCCAAAATAGTATATTTCAGGGTGCAACGTGGGATTAAGCCAAAAGTTGTATATTATTAGTTCTTGTTTAGATTACTCGACAGAGTACTATGAAATCTTGATTTGTTGGTGTAGGTATACACTAATCTTGACGGTAATAGATCGAATTTGGTGCAGACTTCGTGGGCGCTCTTATCGCTCATTAACGCTGGACAGGTTAGTTAGGCGAATATGATAGAAGTTCGAACATTGTTACATAAATATTGGCATGATGTCAATTTGCTTGTAGTATCAGTAATACCACCACGTAAATATTTTTATTTCTAAAAGAAAATTTTAGTTTTACTTAATTTATTTATTATTTAAAACTAGTCCGAAAATAATTTCATGTTTTTATGTAAATAAGGGGAACATTGATCCATTGCCCATACACCGTGGAATAAGACTGCTGATAAATTCACAGATGGAAGATGGTGACTTTCCTCAACAGGTAATTTTACATAATTAGAGATGTTTTTCTTTTCACTTTTATTTTAATATTGCCAACAATCTATAAATAATAATCGATTTTACTTTTATATTTTATTCATTAATTTGGAGAGCAGGAAATCACAGGAGTATTCATGAAGAGCTGTACCCTCAATTATTCATCCTATCGGAATATCTTCCCAATGTGGGCTCTTGGTGAATATCGTCGACGTCTTCTTCAAGCTCAGTCGATATGATCTACTAGTTAAAAAGATCGATATCAACGATATTATTATTATTGCTGTAATAATTATTATTATTATTATTATTTTGTTCAATTGGGTTGAATGTAAAATAATTGTTGGTTTTTTATTCGATATGGCAAACTTAATGGTGCCACAATAAGTTAGTGAAGTTGTGATATTTATTTATCCCTTTTTAAATTGTTTCAATGATATATGACGTATTTTATTATACTTCAATTGAAATATTGGAAATGATTGTTTGGTAAACTTTGATCTTTCTTTCTCACACAATTACAAACAAACAAGAAATTGGAGCTAAACGCTACAATAAAAAAACAGATTCGGCTCATAGAATTTCAGGGTTGGATTGAAGAGCCACAGAAGCACATGTCACCAGCTGTTTACTGTGTGAGACTAACCCATAATCAAAATCAAGCTATTAGTACTTAAAGGTACTATTTGGTTGGCAAGATAAGATTAGTCAAGATAAGATTAAATAATCTAATGAAATTCAATTATTTTATTGGAGCTTGAAACGTCCAAAAAAAAAAAAAACTCATTAAAAGGCAAGATAAGCCATGATTATATAATTTTGGCGGGTCGACCCGACAATTTATTAAGAATACCAAACATCAAATTAAATCCAACTATTAAGTTAATCATGGCTTATCTTGGCAACCAAACGGGTTATAGTCCGCAAAATATGGGCAAAAACAACAAGGTAATCCAAAAACCAATTTCAAAGAAGGGTTAATGGCAAAGAGGCTCATGACAAGGACACTTAATTAAAAAAAAGACATTTAACTCTTTTAAATTGGAAGATCCATGGCTTATTTTTTGTAATACTAAATACGATACATGCACCATCTCCTGCGGCTGTGGAAAATCCATCAACGCTGAGGGACCAAGCGGGTAGGGAGGTGCTCTCCTGTGTAGCGGTCAATTCTACTAAGAAATCGGCCAATACATGTGCGTTGATGGCGGGGCTAGGTTTGAATTCTGCCCCATATTCATTCAGTTCTATGGCCAGTTTGGCTAGCCGTCCGGATGTCTCGGGACTCCCCAATATCTGTTTCAGGGGATAGTTGGTCAGAACCACCACTTGATGTGATTAGAAGTAGGGTTGGAGTTTCCGAGCTGCATTGATGAGGGCGAGCGCGAGCTTCTCCATGTTGGTATATAGTTGTTCAGCCCCTTGTAGGGCGCGACTTATGTAGTATATCGGCTGATGACCTTTCTCCCCATTTCAGATGAGGACCCCGCTGATGGCATCAGCAGAGGTCGCTAAGTAAAGGAAGATGGTGTCTTCGGGTTGAGGCTTCGTGAGTAAGGGTGGTGATGCGAGATATGACTTCAGTTCGATGAAAACTTTTTGACATGCTTCATCCCACTCAAACTTCTTTCCACCCCTTAGAATCTTAAAGAAGGGAAGACCTCTATCCGCCGACCGAGAGATGAATCGGTTCAAAGATGCCAAACAGCCGTTAAGTTGTTGGACCTTCTTGATTGATGTTGGTGGAGCCATGGAGGTGATGGCTTCGATTTTCGTGGGATTATCTTCGATTCCTCGCTGTGATATCATGTATCCCAAGAATTGGCCTCCTCAAATGCCGAACGAACATGTGAGGGGGTTGAGTTTCATTTTGTACTCTCGCAGGATGGCAAAGCACTGACTTAAATCGGCTATGTGTTCCGAGACCTTGATACTTTTTACGAGCATGTCGTCGATGTATACCTCTATATTTTTTTTGATTAGGTATGCAAACATTATGTTCACTAGACGTTGATAAGTAGCTCCCGCATTTTTGAGGCCGAAAGGCATGATTCGGTAGCAGTAGATGCCTTGGTCTGTGATAAAGTTGGCTCTCTCTTGATCTTCTGGGGAGAGCAACATTTGATTGTATCCTTGATATGTGTCAAGGAAGCTGAGGAGCTCGCATCACGAGGTCGAGTCAATGAGTTGGTCGATCCTAGGGAAGGGAAAATGATCCTTGGGACAGGCTCTATTGAGGTCGGTGAAGTCTACGCACAGTCACCACTTGCCGCCGGACTTGGGAACAAGTATTACGTTGGATAACCATTCGGGATACTGAACTGGTCGGATGTGACATGCTTTTAGAAGTTTTGCAACTTCCGCTTTGATATGCTTGTTACGTTCGGGAACAAATGTCCGTTTTCGTTGCTTGACCATCTTCAGTCTTTTGTCGACATTTAGTCGATATAGAGCCACCTTAGGGGGGACTCCCGAAAAATCTTGGGCCTTCCAAGCGAACACATCTCCATTATGTCGCAGGAAGTTGGTTAGCTTATATTCCATCTATGGATCTAAATCGGATCCGATGCGTAGGAGCTTGGAATTATCACCAGGTGTGAGCTCTATGATTTAAGCTCTTCGACGGCCGCTAGCTTGATACTGTCGTCTGGTACACTGATGAGGATTTCTCTATAGGCCTCAATGACCGCGTTGACCTATTTTCGTTTTTCGGGTTTTTGGGTGTCGTCTCCCCTTCCGGATGGCTTAGGCTTCTTAGATAGTTCACGTAGGGCTCTCGCGTAGCATTCTCGCGCGAGTCTTCTATCTCCAAGTACTTCTCCCATCCCATAAGGAGTGGGGAACTTCAATTTTTGTTGAAAGGAGGATGGAACTGCCTCCAAAGCGTATATATAGATTGATTTATTTATAAGGAGAGCATCGAATAATTGGATGTTGCGCTGAAACGTATGATGTATTCTTAATTTTTGGCGTATATAATATTAGGGTGAATCGGGGTGACGGTGAATTTGGTTGATATGGAAATTCAAGTTTTTAATTAGGGGTTCTTTTTATATGAACTCTCAATACTTTTTTTAAATTGAGAGACAACCAGACTATTTTGCACCATTTGAGAAAAACTCACTCTTAATTTCAGTCATCTATTTTTTCAATTATGCCCCTACCACCTCATCAGCACTATTGCTTGCTATCCGCATCAGCCATTTTTTTTTTAAATAGATTTTTTTTTGGTTATTTTTACGTTTTTGTTTTTCGTTTTTTACTTTTTTTTCTCTATTAGGTATATTAATCAACTATGAAGCATATTAATCGACTATGATGAAGCATAGTCGATTAAGGAACTGACTACTAAAAATAAAAAAAACACAACTACATAAAAACGAAAATCAACAGTTTTTTACAAAATAAATAATACACATAAATTGTAATCAATTTATACAAATCTAAATCAATACACAAATATCTAAAAATAAATTAAAAAATGAAATTGAGTAACCTTAATCGACTACCAAAACAGTCAATTAACACTTTAATCGACTACTACAGCATAGTCGATTAAGTTAATCGACTACCAAAACACGTAGTCGATTAAAGGCCCAATCTGCTCAAATTTCTCTACCGCGCCGTCCTCCGCCCGATCTACCAAAAACTCCTAGATCTGCGTCCCCATGGTCACCACACCACACCATCACCACCATATTCCAAAGTAAATCACAACCCGCACCACCAACCAAAGTAGAACCACCACCCATCAAAATCCGATTCCGCTAACAAATCGACGAAAAAGTCATATTTCTCGCACTCGTTCCGGCAACACGCGGCAAAAAATCCATCTCCAAGAGAAGAAGAAGGAGAATGCGCGTCGTTCTAGCGGCGCCGACGAATCTTGGTCTTTGCCTCCGGATCGAGAGAGATAAAAACAGAGATATTGGAGAGAATTGGGTGGGCAATTGAAAAGAGAAAAAAATAGCAAAGAAGAAGAGAGAGGAGAAGCGTGAAAAGAAGAAGAGGGGAATGATAAATAAGATTAGAGTTCTTCAAGTGTATATTAGACAATTTATATTTGTTAGGAGGGTTGTTTCAAAGGGTAAGGGATTTTCTCTAATAACTTTTACAACACTCCCCCTTAGGGGTTCCTATCAGAACACTACGTTGCTTTTCATGTTGCCTCGTTAAAACTTTTGCGAGTAATAAAAACCCAATTGGAATTACGAAACAACATCGGTTAGGAAAAATAATACAACGCACAATCTTTTCAATAATCATGTGTACCCTCGTTAAAACCTTGGCGAGTAACGAAAACCATGTGGAAAAAATAAACCGTGCACGAAGGAAAAAGAATACTACAAGGCACCCGGGTATCTTCTGGATATTGAGTACCTATACGGTACTCCCCCTGATATGTACAAGAAAGTGAACCTGGATAATCTACTCAAGTCAATAGCCTTAACATGTTTTCAAAAGTTTACTTTAGGCAAAACTTAGTCTAAAAGTTGGAGTAGTTATCTCGAATTTTGATCTGCGGGATCATTATTTGTTTAAGCTATTGTTGTTGCAGATTGAAGAAAACTTCAAAGCTATGTACTTGGTTGTCACATTTAATGAAGCCCATCTTCATTTGCTCAATGTATATTCTATTACAGTAAAATACAATCCCGTGGGATCTTCAGTGTTAGTCAATTCACATGAATCTCGAACATGCCTAATCATGGCTTCGGGCCATGTGCATTCACTCACTATCTCGTGATGCAAACATCATGCATGATTTAACTTAATAACAACTAAGGTACATTTCATAGAACCCCAAAACATAGGTATTTTTCCAATACTAAACCATAGATTGTAAACGAGCTTTGTCTGAATATGACTTCTAGGCAATGCCAATATAAACCATAAGCTTCGCATCATTCAGTAATGCATACGGCTTGTCGGTAAGGTGAGCTAAGTCTACCTAATAAATTTACCAAAAATGCTAAATCATACCGAGTACATGGAGTTAAGTATAATAATCCATATATAATACATTTACATATGACACTTCTAGTGCTAACATTTTCTCGTCCTCTTCCATGGGACGGAATGAATCATTCGACCTATTTCATTATCGAACTCCCATAGGTGTTACTCGATAATTTCTCTTTATCCATAACATCTTCTGAATGTAATTCGATTGATGGACAAAAATCTAATTGAAATGATAAATTTAAAGTCGGGGATACAAAAAATTAGTCTCATTTAGATATTTGATCTTCAACTCAAATTTTCAAAAATTGAGTTTTTCTTACTTGACTTCTTCAGGAGTCCAAATCAAGTTCATGTCCTTAACCTAAATTCTAGTAATGGAAAAAATTGAAACCAATTATTGTTCACATATTCTCTTCCGGAGCAATTATTTACTTAGGCGATTATCATATATTCTTCCAGAATATTTCAATCCATAATTTAAGTGAACGTCACGGCCC